TTCGGAACTAAACCTATTGGTGAAATCCTTAAATTTGGCAAGGGGATATAATTGAATGGTCCTGCAACTCTACCTGCCTTTATTTCCTTAAATACTTTGAGCCACGCCTCTGCTTCTTTGCCTTGAACAGAGAGCTGGTTCCTACATATTGAGTGCTTGCGTGGCCCATGGTAATGCAAAGAAAAACCTGAGCTGAACCCAGAAACTAATTCCCTAACTAATTGCCTTTCTGGATGTAACTGAAGCAAATTCAGCAAAACACTGCACTTAATTGGTGTTACTCCCGGGGACGTTAGCTCTGACATTACCCCTGGCTTGATGTGTTGAGAAGGGCATTCCGACTGAAGGTTTGTTTGCAGACCTAAATGTAGAAGACAAACTAGCGCTGGACTGTTGATTTTGTTGAGGACAATTTATTTTCTTATGACTACCACTACATTTCAAGCACAGATGTTTGTAAAAACAAACAGACCTAGAACAGTTCCTATTGTTAAAGTCATAACATTTCTTAATGCTACCCATTGCACTCGGAGCCTGTTTTGTATTAAAGCCATAACTCTTGATCAACAACATTCCAAGGCAAAGAATGGCTTTGAGCCCTTTTCAGGCGAAACTGTTCGTCATAATTTTTCCAGCCTATTCCCCCGGCCCGCCTAGCACCTAACCGAACAGTAAACAATAAAGGCATCTGTCCATATGTCTATATTGTTAATTTTAGTTGTTTTTTGTTTACTTTTTATAACCATCTCACCATTACACAGAGATAAGTGTCTCTTATCATCCACTGGAGTTGGTTTAGATACCAGAATGCCCAGATCAACATATTCATTTCTTATAATTTTTTGTTTAACAGTCGGGGATACGTTCATACCCAAATCGTCAGAAACACTGGGGATCCTGTGTGACATCGGATCAAATTGATCAAGGATTAAACCAACAGGTTGGGCTGGGGTGGAATCATTGGGAGCAATACCAAGTTCATCCATACCTGTTGGCTGTGCTCCAGTAACTGGCTCAATGGCCTGATGCACTGCCTCCACTACTTGCGGCGCCATCCGGGCTGTCACTTGGGAGACCACCTGCTCCAATTGCTTGTCAGAGAGTGGTGGGCCTTCTGCAGAAACAACCCGAGGTGCTGAACTGCCTGAACTTTGAGCCTGGCTCTGGTCCCTTACAGCATCGGGCCTAGCCTAGCTGCCCTAGCATAGGGGCTCTTTGATGGTCTGGTCGACTTCCTCTTGACACCTTTACCTCGCATTCTTAACTGAAACTCACATCACAAATATGTTAGGTAAAAAGTGGAATGGGCTCAAAGATAAAAAAAAAACCCTTTTAATGGCAATTTATACCCTAATTATGGAACTTTGAATATCCTTATTTTAGATATAAGAATATATATTTTTACATAAAATACCATATCCCGTCTGCACGTAAAAGACCCAAGGGGAAATAATAACATTCCCTGAAATTAACAATGTGACAGTGTCTCCTACAACAGGCGTGACGGTATCTAATTTAACATGAACCACATGGGAACAAAAACAATTTGATTAGCCAAAAACGCTCTGTTTCCGGCATATGCATATACATGTATCAAAATTATAAAAAAAGATATCTCATAAAGATATATGACGGTTATCCTACATCATATCAAGAGATACAGCTAAACAGCGCGATAGCTTCCGACGTGAAACCACGTGGAACGACCGCCCCGCCATTAATTCATAATCTTATAGAGCTCAATACGCTGCATACAATAAAAATTAAAATCGAACGACATCTATTTCAATACAAACCACGGTTGCAACCTGTTAACATAAACAGTATTGGCGAACTAAAATGCGTCGTAATCCAATGATATTCGTCGTAATCAAATAAAAAGAAGATATTTTTTCACTAAAACGTCCACTGATCTCTTTGCTGCCTAAGCTTGACCTTGCAAAATGGCGAATGCACGGCTATGACGTAATGAACATCAAGGGAGTTAACTCTACAGATACAAGGGACATAACTCTAACGACTTTAACTAAAGTTGGAATAGCTGACCGTAAAGAGTGTGTGGTCTTCATATGATAAATTAAATTATTATAATGAAATAATTTTTAATATTTTCGTTAGAACCAAGAACCATTTTTTATATCTTGTGGAGTTGTCATAATTTTTTTCTTATAATACAACAATAAATTTGGGATGTCCCTAACTATTGGAGAAATGTGTATTATGTTAAGCAATTACAAAAAGTAAGCCTTGATGAAAATGTCGAAAGATCGTCGATGATAAGTGATTAATAGCCTGATCACGAAATTGAAATCTAATGGGACAGCTGTTCTCGGTATAACAAAATAATCAGGAGATGGACATCTGACGGAACAGCGGTTATCGTAATAAAATAATCACAAGATGGCCATCTGACGGAACAGCGGTTATCGTAATAAAATAATCACGAGATGGACATCTGACGGAACAACGGTTATCGTAATAAAATAATCAGGAGATGGACATCTGACGGAACAGCGGTTATCGTAGCAAAATAATCACGAGATGGACATCAGATGGGACAGCTGTTCTCGGTATAACAAAATAATCAGGAGATGGACATCTGACGGAACAGTTGTTCTCGTAACAAAATAATCACGAGATGGACATCTGACGGAACAGCGGTTATCGTAATAAAATAATCAGGAGATGGACATCTGACGGAACAGCTGTTATCGTAATAAAATAATCAGGAGATGGACATCTGACGGAACAGCGGTTATCGTAATAAAATAATCAGGAGATGGACATCTGACGGAACAGCGGTTATCGTAATAAAATAATCAGGAGATGGACATCTGACGGAACAGCGGTTATCGTAGCAAAATAATCAGGAGATGGACATCTAACGGAACAGCGGTTCTCGTAATAAAATAATCACGAGATGGACATCTAACGGAACAGCGGTTATCGTAATAAAATAATCAGGAGATGGACATCTGACGGAACAGCGGTTATCGTAACAAAATAATCACGAGATGGACATCTAACGGAACAGCGGTTATCGTAACAAAATAATCACGAGATGGACATCTAACGGAACAGCGGTTATCGTAATAAAATAATCAGGAGATGGACATCTAACGGAACAGCTGTTCTCGTAACAAAATAATCAGGAGATGGACATCTGACGGAACAGCGGTTATCGTAGCAAAATAATCACGAGATGGACATCTAACGGAACAGCGGTTCTCGTAATAAAATAATTACGAGATGGACATCTGACGGAACAGCGGTTCTCGTAACAAAATAATCAGGAGATGGACATCTGACGGAACAGCTGTTCTCGTAACAAAATAATCAGGAGATGGACATCTGACGGAGCAGCGGTTATCGTAATAAAATAATCACGAGATGGACATCTGACGGAGCAGCGGTTCTCGGTATAACAAAATAATCACGAGATGGACATCTAACAGAACAGCGGTTATCGTAACAAAATAATCACGAGATGGACATCTAACGGAACAGCGGTTCTCGTAATAAAATAATCACGAGATGGACATCAGATGGGACAGCTGTTCTCGGTATAACAAAATAACCACGAGATGGACATCTGACGGAACAACGGTTCTCGTAACAAAATAATCACGAGATGGACATCTGACGGAACAGCGGTTCTTGTAATAAAATAATCAGGAGATGGACATCTGATGGGACAGCTGTTCTCGTAACAAAATAATCACGAGATGGACATCTGACGGAACAGTTGTTCTCGTAACAAAATAATCACGAGATGGACATCTGACGGAACAACGGTTCTCGTAACAAAATAATCACGAGATGGACATCTGACGGAACAACGGTTCTCGTAATAAAATAATCACGAGATGGACATCTAACGGAACAGCGGTTATCGTAATAAAATAATCAGGAGATGGACATCTGACGGAACAGCGGTTATCGTAACAAAATAATCACGAGATGGACATCTAACGGAACAGCGGTTATCGTAACAAAATAATCACGAGATGGACATCTAACGGAACAGCGGTTATCGTAATAAAATAATCAGGAGATGGACATCTAACGGAACAGCTGTTCTCGTAACAAAATAATCAGGAGATGGACATCTGACGGAACAGCGGTTATCGTAGCAAAATAATCACGAGATGGACATCTAACGGAACAGCGGTTCTCGTAATAAAATAATTACGAGATGGACATCTGACGGAACAGCGCTCGTAACAAAATAATCAGGAGATGGACATCTGACGGAACAGCTGTTCTCGTAACAAAATAATCAGGAGATGGACATCTGACGGAGCAGCGGTTATCGTAATAAAATAATCACGAGATGGACATCTGACGGAGCAGCGGTTCTCGGTATAACAAAATAATCACGAGATGGACATCTAACAGAACAGCGGTTATCGTAACAAAATAATCACGAGATGGACATCTAACGGAACAGCGGTTCTCGTAATAAAATAATCACGAGATGGACATCAGATGGGACAGCTGTTCTCGGTATAACAAAATAACCACGAGATGGACATCTCGTAACAAAATAATCACGAGATGGACATCTGACGGAACAGCGGTTCTTGTAATAAAATAATCTGTTCTCGTAACAAAATAATCACGAGATAACAACAGTTGTTCTCGTAACAAAATAATCACGAGATGGACATCTGACGGAACAACGGTTCTCGTAACAAAATAATCACGAATGGACATCTGACGGTAATAAAATAATCAGGAGATGGACATCTGATGGGACAGCTGTTCTCGTAACAAAATAATCACGAGATGGACATCTGACGGAACAGCGGTTCTTAATAAAATAATCACGAAATGGAAATTTAATGGGACAGCGGTTTTCGGTATAGCAAAAATAATCAAACTACTGAACAATTTTGACCAATCGAAAAGGTTGTACAAATCACAGTCCAATTACAATCGTTAGACCAGACAAAATGACAGATGGTTAACTTGAGAAAAACGAAATATACACATGAGACATGACGATAAGGTGCAGAGAGCCAGGTATCAATTCGAACGAACTTTCTGTGAATGAATACACGATACATGCCCCAGATTCGCAAAGGATGTCTTCCGTTGAATGTGTTTGGTTTTACGGAATTAAACGCCCTCGTTCTCAAACCTGCCTGGATCATCTGAGGGCTGGTATTGGGAGAAGTTTGGTGTTAAAAGGTAAAAAACAAATGTTAAAAATCTTAAATGGGTATATTAACACAAAAGATTAAAATGGTACGTCATAGTCTAGTATATAGACCAACATCTTTCAGGTAATATAGAATTTAACAAATCTCAACAGCTTCAAAAAGAGTTTTTAGACCTGTAATACTACGATAAAAACATTCTCGAGTAGACTGAAGGTCAATGCAGTCTGTAACGTAGTGCAAGCGGTCGAGTAGGGTGTTTGGGATTGAAGACAACAAACAGTTTTACATGAAACTATTTACTACATATTTTATACAGATACATATAAATTTCACACTAAGACATATTCACACTCACTCCAACACGAAAGTTCAAAGTTCATAATTCGTTATCCACACGGCAGTCACAAGTTTCCCACACGACAAACACCAATAAAGTCAGCACCTGAACCACAACCCAGACACACGGACAAGCGTTCGGCAAGAATGTCCGGTACAGAAATATCATCAAAAATACTTTCCCGCAGGTAAAGTATAAAACAATAGTTGCTAGTGCAAATAATCTAGCTCAGATCCGCAGTGGCTGGTTATCTCACCAGTACGTCTATAACACCAGACGTCGACCACATGTAGGCGTAGTGTTACCGCCCACTCCTTACCTTGGCTGACTCGCCTGTCACACCGACAGAACTTCCTGAGGATGAGTCTATCTTGTACAGGTTCTGACGCCGAAGCCGTCGTGAAGCAGAGTCCTGTTGACTCAGGGACTAAATCCCGTCATGGGGAGCTTAAACAAACACACACAACATCTTGACAATTTCTCGCCTGACAACCGTGGCAAACAACAATTAACATACATTAATATCCTAACTCTGATAATGATAGAATAAATACGCCAAATTAACTACTATTATGTGCCCAAATATTAATAATTAGATGTACAAAATACTAACATAAATTCGTGTCGGTCCATTCCTGACACTAACATCAATGTACACAATAGCTAAGCTATGTCCCTTTAGGGCTTCCGTACATTTTTACACAGGCGCAATTCATAACTTCAAATAATGATATATATTTCAACATAAGAACTCTATATACACTATAACTAACACTATAATATAGCAATAGCCACATAATTATTTATAACCTACATTTAAACAACACAAATATAGATGTAAACAATGGTTACGCATGATTGGGTCGCACGTTAAAAATATGCTAAAAAGACATTTACCCGGGAAAAACACATTCAAAGTAAGACGTTAGAGTTAGGTCTTATTTCCAAGCCTGTTTCCATGTTAATAAATGACAATCGACCAAAGGCGTTCACAAAACAGCCATTACTCTATGCATACACTACCTGTAGTGACGTAGATAAAAACAACATTCCACGCGTGCACCCGTACTTCCGCTCACGCCGTACTTCCATACACGCCATCAAATACTCGTACACGACAATAAACAACTAAACACGAAAAACAACACATGAAAAACATATTGAATACATGCGATCGTGACACAGCCCAATAAAAAATGTTTAACGGTGAATGGCTCATCACATCCTATGCACCGAGGATTTTCTTCGCCTTTCAACATATATTAATGTGTAAGGTAAGTATGACCTACCCGAAGACACGCAAGGACAAGTCCGTCTCGGTGATTTTCTCTATAGCATGAAGACCATTCACCGATAATAGGTTTTACAGAATGCAATTTATTATTGGTATATGTATTCCATTCCTCCTGCCACTGAGCTTTTAAACTTTGTTTAATAAATGGTTTTTAATTACAGAACAGAACCAACAATTGGCAATAAACCTGATTTTGGCCTGGGTTGACATACAGCCTGCACGATCTGCAGGTACATACTGCGTAGTTGGCACATACGCAATATCCGGAGATTAGGTATCGGTCTTGGCTTAAAACCACTGCATTCTCTGATTGGCAGTCCTGCAGTTCACACTGGCGTACATGTGTTAACTCTGGGCACAGTGAAATAGCTTCAAGGTTAGTTGGAAATGCACAAGAATATAATATTTTTCTCTTTTTTCTAATTTCAATTCCTTATATATACTTTCAATTTTTATTGGTGTTATAGTGATATGAGCACATGTCAGGATGTGCAGATGATTCTGTCATTTGCAGAAAATGTGCTCGATTATTTCTTTGTGTATTTTATAGGGATTGTGAACTGTTTAGAATTAATTCTAAGAATTTTCTCTTCTGAGAAGTAAAAAAATATATCGGTATTCAACTTGTTTTTCTAATGATGATTTTGTGAACATTTTATCTTAGGAAGTAAATCAAAAACAAACAAAAAATCAATATGCTTTCGCACTGTCGTCAGAATTTATATAACAGGACATAATTCATTTTCTCAGATCATTCTTCTTTCTCTGTTATTTTCGTGGCAACCTTTTAACGAACATTTATTGATCTTCTGTTACAAGGTAAGATACATAGATATAAACAAAGTGAATACACCCTTGCGAATCTTGTTTAGAGAATTTTCGTTCCATTTTCTTATTGCACCCCTAATCATGTCTTTATATTTCTTCTTTATTTTCCACCTGATATTACACACCTAATGTCTGGCGAGTGTAACTTTGTTTTCATTTGCATGAGAACTTATTAATTATTTTGTTCAGATATCCGTTTACCGAGAAATACTTTACCTATCTCGTGATAATGCTTGTCAGTTAATTATTTTTAACGCGCCATTTAAAGGAACATTGTGCAGTTGGCTTTGGAATTTCAATTCAGCTATTGTTTACCTCTGGTTGGTTAAGTTTCAGCTGCGCCTTAAGTAGATAACAGAATATGATAATTATTTACATTGTTCAAATACCTGAACTATGGTTTGAGTTGCGCACGGATATATTTTGTTGTGGCTGGTACAATACTTCAAGGGAAAAACATATATATATATAAAGGTTTTATGGACATGTGGATACATGCTTTTAAGATATGGATTTCCTCTGAGGAATTTTTTTGTGTCATAACAATGACATCATTGACGACGGCCTTGGAAATAACAACAGGTAAGTTGGCAACAGGGTATTTTTACTTTTTCGGAAGGCAAGTGAGCTACTGCTGTGCGGTGGCGTTTGCCGTCAACTTTTCCTTTAACGACGTCTCTTCAATAACTGAAAGAACGAATATTCTGTTACTGGGCCTATAGCATTTTGTCATGAAGTGCTACCGCGTTTTGAAAATTAATCTTGGTCAAATGAACAACCTTGTTAAGACGGTTATATTTTAGGCCTAGTGTAATGGCATTTGTGTACTACCATGATCGGAAATGGACGGACAAATTTTGTGAAAATTAACTTTACGAACAAAGCCTTCTTTATAACTATAAGCTACAGTACATGTAGGCATCAATATCTATTCTTTTCAGAAAAGGGGAAATATTTTATCAATTGAGGGGAATCTTATATGTTGATATTTTCGTTTCATAAGCAAAACGAAAAGATAAATGTACATACATCCCCAACATAAATTGGCAAGATACCAACATATGTCCATGTTTTAGATAAAATTTTCAGTTCATATATGACACAAGGGTTTTCTTGTAATGGAAATTATGTTTCTAAGAAAATATATTAAAGGAAGTCAACTGGGGAGTGGGGGAGGTAAAAAGTTTGGTGTTTCTCAAACTCTGACCTGTGAGTGATTCAGATGCATTGGTCCTCTTGTTAGTTTCAAATGTAAATGTAAAAAATCTCTCCTCTTTTGTTGAGATCCCCATGAAAGCTTCCATCAGTTCTCATATACAGATGCTTACGTCGGCAGTCCTTTGTTTTGAATTTAAGGATACATATGATATTCTCTTACATGAAGTTCTGAATGGAAAATTAGTTTCAAAGTATGCCGTCGCAGGCTTCGGCGAGTTTCTGGATATCAGGTATTATTTCAGGATACCACATCTTATCAGTCATTATATCGAGATTTTGTTAACGTGTTTGGTTCCCTCTAATGAAATATCTCGTTTTTAAATGCCCGCTTTAAGGTGACACCAATTATTCAGAAAACTGAGGTAATAGCGCTATTCGAAGTACAAAGCAGTTTACAACAGATCAATAGGCGGAAATACTTTAGCCTTGAGCTCATGCATGAACGGTTTTTACACCTATCACTTGGTATTAAGTAACATGTACATAATAGGACAGTCATACAAACTTACAGGTTTAAACGTAATGCAGTATTTAGTGTTAGATATACTAATTAAGGACCACGGTCAGAAGAAAAATATTAATAAGATACAATACCAAATTTGAAAGTAATGATACCAACGATTATTCTCCAAGTGAAAAAGAAAAAAAAATAGCATTGGTTTGAAACATAATTCGCTATGCTTCATAGATTTTATTTCAATGTTTCTAAATATAAACCACATTAATTATTATTGGCAGGGAAATTAGCTCAAATGTTCCTCATTATTGAATGAGGACAAGCCATTAAAAAATTTGTTTGAAGGGAAAAAAGGAGGGAAATAGATGGAATTCTGGAGCAAACTTTCAACAAAGGCACTCAAATTGGACCGTGTGTTTAAAGGCACTAAAGATTTTACTTGTACGTACTGTGAATATCAAAAAAGGACTATTGCAAATTAATGCATTTCAAACATCTGTAATGCTTTCCGAATGAGAGATGTTCATAAAATTTATCATCCGACAGCATTTCAACATTCTTCTCTAAAACGATCAAATGTATCAAAAGTCCTGTTTAAACACACAGGTAATATAAAAGGCAAGTATCTTGATGATCTCAAACACTGGAATATTTGAAAGATCTCACAAAAATGAAGTCTGAAATATTTATGTCGAGATTATCCACAATGTAACGTTAATAAAGCGCGAAGTAGGGCATTGACTACCGTCTGCAACCTGCAACATCTGAAACTTTGAAATTTAAACACCGTTTATTGTTAAAATGATAATTCTATGGAAACCATAATCTTTTGTTCATATCTTTTATTGATTTGATATTTTCTTAATAGCTTTTCTTGTCTTTTGAAGAACAAATTACTCTTCTGCGTTTGCATACTTTAAATCAAACTGTAAAATTTTTTGTAAGGACAATTGCCGTAGTTTCCAAGAACATGTTCGTGAACACTTAAGTTAGTGCTATAGCACAAATAAGTCTTCTTATCATTATTCTAACGTTTCCTAGACACAAGGATTCGTTAAGCCAAGAAATCAACGAAAATGTATCCCTTAGGAAAGTCAATGCTTTGTATTGGAAATCGCATTTCTAGGTACAATGGTTTATTTGAATTTTTCTTATAATATTTCAGATGAATTCAAAGAATATTCATCATGTTGGAACATTCTTTCTTATAATTCTGTTCCTGTTTGCCGACGCTCAGAACTACTGGGAAGATACTAGAGCCGGGAAAATCCCCGCATGCCTCACAACAACTTGTGATAGGAATGACACTGTTTGTGAGTGCTATCTCACAATTGAACATCGTTTAACAATGATGTATGAAGAATCACAAAAACTGGTTGTTCCATTAGGAGGACAACTACATGAATATGATAGCCTAGGTTCCCCAATAGATAACATAGAGGAGTTGCCATTTATCTTGACGGCGGACGGAAACAATTCCAGACTTGTTATCGCTATAAATCGGCGCTTTCCAGGACCACAGATTACTGCGTACGAGGACCAGACACTGATCATCCATGTTCGCAACCTGATGCACACCGATAGTACTACTATACATTGGCATGGCATGCACCAGAAAGATACCACATACTCCGACGGTGTTGCTTTCGTTTCCCAGTGTCCGCTGGGACACGGCCAGGAGTTCACTTACAAATTTAAAGCCAAGCCGCACGGTACCAGCTTTTACCATGCCCATATTGGCGATCAGAGGACCATGGGATTGTATGGAGCTCTTATCGTATATCCCAAACAAGAACTTCCTTCCACAACCAAAGCAGAACACGCGGCCATTATTCAGGACTGGAATCATGACGACGACGCGGCTAGTTTGTATCAACGCATGCTGTATGGTGTGTTCTACCAATCGAGCCGATCTCGATATCAACCAACTGCTTCGAAAGATGGTGGAATGTATAGTAGATTTCTGTTTCATTCTGGTCTTGTGAATGGAAAGGGGCGATATTACATCTACGGCAACACACACAACCAAGCTCCTCTGACTAGGTTTGACGTGATTAGAAACAAGTGGTATACCTTTAGAGTCATCAGCGCAGCCACCCTTTATCCGTTTCTTGTTTATGTAACTGGTCATCCAAAGCTAACACTTATCGCATCGGACGGGTTTGCTCTTCAGGAGATGGTTGTTGATGCTTTCGTCATTAATCCTGGGGAGAGATATGATTTCAAAATATTTACAAATTCGACAGATGGAAATTACATGCTTGTAGCGCAGACTTTGGAAAACAACAATTTTCATATAGCAGAAGCTATCATCCACTATAGGAATGTTCCTGTTGAATTGAATCCTGGTCGACCGGCGGCCCTGAGCTGTTCTATGGGTACAAAATGTATCATTTTCAATTGTCCATACTTAAGTCCTATCAGCGGTGGTGAAAGTTGTAAGACGTTTAACGACGCAAGAACCGACGATTTTAACTCTAAGCCAGAAGACGTTACCAACATCGATGAGGAACACTTCTTCAACTTTGCTTTTCCAGGAGAGGTGGGTGATACTCCTGCGTCTGTCAATGGCCGTCAGTTCGTACCGCCAATTGCGCCATTGTACTCGCAGCCGAATGATCTTACTACTGCTTGTTCTCCTAACTGTGCTGATAATAACCTTTGTACATGCACATACACACAGGAAATTCAAAATGGGAGAGTATACCAGTTCACACTAACCAACCTCGGGAACGGCAAAGGGTGGTCACATCCGGTACACTTACACGGTCATTCGTTTTATGTCATGAAGATTGGTTTCGGAAAGTATAACTCAGCAGGTGTTCTGGTCGGTTCGACACCTGATATATCCTGTGATATTGGATCTAAAGGCTTCTGTAACAATCCTGTGTGGGCTAACGAGACATGGAGAGGAGGAAACGTACCGGGATTAGTTCTCGACAAACCCGCACAGAAAGACACCATTATAGTCCCTACCGATGGCTACGTCGTCATCAGATTCAAGGCAGATAACCCAGGTGCCTGGTTCTTCCACTGTCACATCGACCTCCACAACACGAACGGGATGGGGATGGTTATCCTGGAGTCGCCTACGATGTATCCCGACATACCAAAGGGATTTCCGACCTGTGGAACCTTCAGAACCTTCAGAACGGATACCCAACCGTTATTAGCCGCTGGTACGTATATATATACTTTTTACTCTTAAGACATTTTTGTCCTTACACAGTAGCTTTCCCATCATCTGAATCATTAACAAATAATTATTGATTATGTACATTAGTTGATGTAAATGAAATTCATGAGAACATGCCTATATTTTTAAAACTAACAATTTCCTAAGTGCAGTGAAACAATTTCTTGAAAATATTTAACCGTGTAACACATGAATATGTATATTGTTGTTAATGTAGCGTTAAAAAGGACATGAGGTCAGAACGCACGAAAAAGAAGAACTAGTTCTCCATATAAATGAAACATAGTTGATGCCACACGAGGTTAAATAATTACACGAGGGAATTCTGTTGTTTCTTTTTTTAATGCAGGCCTTTGTCTAGTTTCTATTGAGTTGCCATAGTAATTTTGCGTGAGGTTTTCATATACGGCATATTTTGTTTTACTTTCAGGTCCTAGGTTGAACATGAGTTGGATTCTGTGTTTAGTTGCTGTCACTGGACTAGCAATCGAATTGATGATGTAAATGAATGTAGCGAGAGATTATCATTTCACATGGTATTCTTTAAACAACATTTGGGAGTACTTACCTGGAATCGCATATATCTATGTCAAAGACCTTCGTCCATTGCTCAGAACACGGTTTAGTACCTAGAACGTTTCGGATACGAATGTTTAACACCAGAGTCAAAACAAGTCAATATTGTCACAGGAGTCAACATTTGAACACACAGGATATATATGCTATATTCCACATTATGAACAAACAAATACCATGTTTCTTAAAATTACGTTGGTAAACTAACGATACGAAATACTTATTAAAACTCGTAAATGACTATAAGACTTTAATGCCTCCACTCTCATGCATGTGTATATATCTATAGGGCTTCTAGAATATACATGGCATAGATACGAGAAGGGGTCGGATGGACATGGATAATGCTATAAGCCACGCTCTGACGTTATAGTAACATGTTTTAATAATTCCTTCTGTGATATAACATGTGTAAATGACAGTAACACCGTAGTCTCTGTTGTGAGCCAAAAACTGATAAATCTGTTATGTAGAAATAACTTTTAAAAGAAATAAGACATGTACTACATATATTAAAACTGTTCGATTTTCAATTCCCCTTTTGATATCAGGTTTGATGCATGGTCACGATACAATTTACCAACTTATTCATATCTGTCATCTTGTATGAACTGCACTCGATTCTTTAAAATCATTTTGAAAGTTTTTGGTAAAGTTAAGTATCTGGACTAATTTGTTAAATTAAAATCATATGATAGTTTTTAAAAAAATTGTTCTAAAGTAATTGTCATTGAGGAAGGCGTTTGTCAGGGATCTATTCATAGTTCACGTTTGTTTTTAATTCATATTAATTATATTGCAGATATCTTTCATCACCCTCTGATTTAGTTGCAGTCGATACATCATCATTCAAGTCACCGGCGTCTTATCTTGAAATTCAATAAACTTTTAATAGAGATTTAGATAGCTTTAAGTTATGGACTACTTACATTTTTCGGATCACCACATACATTTAGGAATAATCTTTAATTTAAGTGCATGTCAATGAAAATTATATTTCTGTTATTTATGAAAAGGAAATTTTACGGGAAACTCTTTCTTTGAAGTCCAGTGTACCGTCTTCCCTGCTTGCGTATTCATTTTAAAAGCATGATTTACATATAGTTTCGTTTTCCTTAATTATGATCTTTTTATGGCAAACCTTGCAAATAATGCTTCGTGTATCCATATAAACCCATGTGAAAACGTCTTTCATTATCATATTGCCTTCGTTTAAACAACGAAAGAAAATTTCTGATCAAATATTTTACTAGTTTGAAGTTGTATTAAATTTCTATGGATTTATTCTTGTTTAGAAATAATCTTACTGTAGACCTTAGCTCAAATATCATATGCAGTCCTTCCTTATGTCTAATAACATATTTTGATTTTAATACTGATATTTATTGTACATATATGCAAGTTTCCATGATAGGAATTGTTTTCTATGTTAATGCATATTTAGAAGAGTTGTAATGATTGCACCAAATGAAATTATATGATTTTGACAATGACAAGTAGTAACTGATAGTCACGGAATAGTAGCTAGACTATTACTTGGCTTATGTATCATTTTGATTCGTTCTTATGTTCCTAATTTCCATTAAAAATAATAATGTACAAAAAAGAATCTCTGTTTGTTTTTTGGATGACGAACAAATTTGTGAACTGTTTTGCTCACTTGCCCAAAGGGCTACAAAATGTGAACATGTTACAAGGGAAAATAATCTGGAGCATAACACTGTCCTCAGAAGCATTTCTTGACCAGCGGGTGGCTATCATACTTGATGGTCCATACACCTATATCCCTAAGAGTTATGATAACAAGCTCAAGAGAATCTCCTACTGTGGCAAGAAGAAGCAAAACTATTTGAAATTCACGAGCATAGCCCTGTATGATGATTACATTCTGGACACAGAAGGGCCCTTTCATGGAAGCTTAAATGATGACAAGATTACAAAAAGCCATAATGGATAGTTTCTCCTGGTTGGTGAAAGATGACAACGTTGTTGCTCTAGGACTTTGGGATATTTTGCCAGATTTGGAATTACGTGGTTTGACAACAAATATGCTGTCTTATCTAAAACCTTGGTAGACTCAATATGACGATCTACAATCTAACCTTGACAGATCCACAACTAAATCCAGATGGGTAATGGAGTCATACCATGAATCTATTTCATTGGTGTCATCGAGGCAGTCGTTAGAATATAATAGCCTGTCTCAATGGAATTCGAAGACTCATAAGTGTGTGCTCACAAGAGCGAGCGAGACGCAAAATATAGGGTACTGGCTGCCAAATGAAAGGGCACCTTAAAGTTCACAACAACTGAACTCAGCGTGGGCCAGATCTTACTAGAAGGTACAAGTCACTATTTGTGACTCTAGATGCTACTGCGGATAATTGTGACTTTCTAGTCAGACATGGAATGCCTTCGGACAGTATCCTTTGCCAAATATCATTGGCAGTTGACTACACATGTGGCAGTGTGATCTTTATATTGACTGTGCTATATATGTGTGTGTTTATTAGTATTGGTTATGTAATATGGTATAAGTGTCTTAAAAACAACATATCATTTGTGTGGATTATATATATACTATATGGGTTTTGCAAAATAACATATTGTCCACAGTATTTCATTATATCAAATGCATGTATAAATACTATTACCAGGCAATAATGCTGTAGGGTCAAGTATTTAAGACAGGACCTTTGACATGCCTACACTATGACATGTTAACCTCACAACCTTACACTCCGATAAGCTAGGACTATCACATGATTGGCTTTCACTAGTTTAGACATTATAGTTACTGGACAGTCTCTGATTGGGCATAACAACCCGTTTTGGCCAATCAGATGCTTTCCATTTAGCCAAGTGAGATTTGCACATGCTGCAAATTTTGTCAGTCCTAGCACCAGCTGCCAGCCGTTCAAGTGTCCTATTGGAAATTGTGTTGTTTTTTTATAAATATACATATATAAAGGAATTCTATATTGGTTATATTCATATAGTTACAAGGTTTTATAGCTGTGAAATACTGCTGTGTTAAGTTCTATTTGTGTTAATTGGACTTTGGTCAATTAATACTGAAATTGCAGTCAATTCCTTTATATACCGGTGACATAGTAGAGCTATGTGTTATAGTTCGCTGAATTTATATTTGTAGCCGGTGTGAGGTGTGAACTGCCAGTAAGCTGGTCAGGACTCCGGTCAAACCCCTGCATGATATGTAGGGTGAGTGTTCTACAAATGTCACTATTATTTTCGTAGGTGTGGCAATACTATAGGTTTTAGTGTAGTTTGTGGGGTATAAATATACATGAGATTCCTGTGTATTCACCCAAGTATCTCGTATATTTTATTTATTAATTTATGTCGGAAGTAAAATGTATCTAAACAGGTAAGACGTAAATGAAAGGTGTAATCAGTATATTTATAGAATATACGAATATCATTGTATTCGTAGGTATTATAGATATACGTGTATATATTCGATTTATAAATAGTAAAATTAACCTTACGGGTTATCTCCCTTTGACGAGAGTCAATTTGACTCTCTTGGAAATAGGAATATCTCTATAGATGTAAATGAACGTAGTGCATGTAGGTACGATTGTTTATTGAATTGTTTTACATGTCTGTTATTTATCTATTTTGCAGGGTTTTATTTTGTTGGTCGTACGTAACAAATGTGGGAAATAACGCACGAGTGTCATCTTTTATTTGATGACGAAACACCCCCGTTACACACAAGTGATGACTACGAGATCTTGATCTATCGATATATTAGTGTTAAGTACAATCTTTGGATCCAGCATGACAGCTCCGTCGTCATTAATCCCGTAAAGGACGGAGAACCATGGCTATATGTGTTCACGTAACAAATATCTTGCGCTATCTATGATACTAAATGCATTTTGAAACCGTTGCGAAGCCTTTGCATTGAAAAGGCAAAACGTTTAAGACAAACATCAAGAAATGTAGATTTGGCTACAAACCGTCATCTTCAAGGCATTATGTATGATCGATTAAGACAATTAGAACTACATTTCTATACTATGTATACTAATAGTGACATGGCCAATCAGATTTTAGGACGAAGAAGCCATATTGGATTGCATATTAGGTGGTTTTATGTGTAAACCAACTTAAATCTATCATTTAGCAATCTTGTTAGAATATTGATTGAGCAGTTTTAAGAACATTTAATTTACCGACTGTCTTCCATGTACAGCGCAAAATAGAGGAACGATTCACGTTTATGTAGTTTCACTTATTTGTTTACGGTAAATAAGTAGACAACAATAGGAAATATATAAGGAAAAGGAAGACGTGCAGGATTTGAAAGATATTATGTTATATCACATCGGGTGTAAGGTTCAAATTTCACTCCCAACTACGCATTTCTAAGCATTGTGACGTCAGTGATGCGAAAACAGTCCTATCTCCCTAATTTCTTGAGTTATTGATCTACTGATTATATTTCCTGAAAGTTGCGAAAATGCTGTACAAATTTTGTTTTGAAAAAAAGATGTGTTGCCTTTTTTGCGAGTTGAGAATACAAGGCATTTCCGAACATTTGGGAGTAATGACGTCGTGTGTACGGTGTACGTAAATGTCTATTCGCGGGTCTGGTTTGTAATCCACATTTCACTCGAATTTCAATACATAGATACCAGATATCCAAAATATTATGTATGTTCCATCACGTTCACATAATTCGATGCAAATATTTTGATTTGACAAATAAAACGCATCCGATACTATCCAAACAGCCTCGTGTCAGCCTGTACACACCTTTGATCGATTCCAATGATATTGCATAAAATTTTCTACTGAATTTTATTGTCATTTGAAATTAATCAAAATTCATCTATTTACATTCAGAAAATACCACAAGAAAGGTTTCTCGAGCTTTCTAAAACAATCATTGTACGTAAACAAACACCACAGTAAGTTGACGTTGTGTGACGGAATAAGCACCTGTACGATTAGGATCATAATAGTGCAACTTTCAGTCGTTTTATAACATGCTATGTAAACGGTCGTTTTATCAGAAATTCATCATTTTATTCGAATGGGATAGATAACGGTAATAAAGGAGATCTTGAAATAACTGAAATAAAAGCAGATGAAAGAAACCTAATCATCAACGGCAAAGGCTATTTATAGTCTTTGGGTATTTCCAAAGTGATTACTTTCGATTTAGAGGAGCGAGCACATGTCTTATGAGACCTTATTTGTCACTAGAGTAAGATAAGATACCAAATGGGTGCAAAATAATGACATGTCACAATCAAGGCGATAGAATTCATTCGTGTTGAGTCTAGAGACGAACTAAAAGTAAAATCGTCGACCAGTCAGTATTTGCAAATGATGGAATGATGAGGTAAGCCTGTCCGCCGCAGAGAAATTACCATGGCGTTCATCTTGCCACCAAATCATAGCATAGGTAAGTAATTTTAGTAGGCATAATGTTTATATGATTAAATATGCTACACAGAATAACTTCATTTCATCTATATTTCAAAATATTTGAGCAAGACACAGTACAATGTTTAGAATACAAAGATGAATCCAAATAGTGTATATGTATTTGTTTCATTCTACATGAATTAAACTTTATTCTTAGTTATAAAAGTGTCTCAAACAATTCGAAATCTGTAAAATATAATTTGGTATTTATTTACCATCCTTACCAACAATGCAGGCTAAAAGTTCAGTTTTCCACTTACAGCAAATAATGTCTAATAAAACGCAACATGACATGCAAAACTACGCCATTTAATCAAATTTATTTGTTTGTGATATATAGATTGCTTCAAGCCTGGTGTTGGTACATGTAGCTCTATGCATCTATGTTGTTTGAATGCAAAGACATGTATCATAGATCCCTAACACTACATGTTGGACATGTATTACATGGATGGGGAATCTGTATGATACATCCCTGACGAAATACATGTACGTGTTTCCTTCTGTATTTTCCACTTTCTAATATACTGCAGTTTTCTACCTGATTGTGATTATTGATTATTACATATCAATTGTCTAAGGATACTGTATTTTCCCTAACAAAACACAAGTTCTGGATTTTTTTCCTATGACTTAACCTCTTTTTTTCATTTTGTTTTACTTTTTTATTAGTTATTCAGTCTATTCGAAATAATGTATAAACTATTGTAAGAGATAATGCCAGGTGATTAGAGATGTATAATATAACCTGAATAAAGTCGGCCCTGTCTTATTCAGATCCCTGGTAATACCATACTTGATGATTGGTCCTTGTTGTAAATCCTGGCCAAACTAATCAACAACTTGTTTGTTTAAGTTGCCGATTTATTTAGAAAATGATAGCTGAAGTAGTCAAAACAGTCAGTGATAAAATACTCTTGTCAAGTTGTATTTGATTATGAGGAGCTATATAAGTAATGAAGCTGTGATTTTAAATATCAGCCTTAGATGGCCGAAAGATATTCACAAGACCACAAATATCGCATTGTACAGTGCACATCCTAAGCAGATTTTGCAACAATTTTGAAGGGAAAGATAAATAACAATAAGAAAAACATATCTTTGAAGTAACATGTATTGAAAAGTAATTGTTATACTGTAATTTTTTGTCAGTGTTTGAGGTTTGAGTCCGTGACCCTTATACATTGTATACTCAAGGGATAAAGAAACCCAGGGTATCTTTGGAGATGATTCTAGGCAAGACGTCGAGTATAATGTATAATATTTTAAGTAAGAATAAAGATTAATTAATCCATACAGAACAAACTCCAAGTGTATCTGGTAAGTGATTAAGGAGTAATCAAAGTTAATTGAAGGAGAACTATGTATTCTGAAATCGAAATGGACTGATTGTGGGAGCTGGCTAGTCGATACCGGGTATGTTCCCAATTCACTCTCCACAGCCCTGGTTTTCCCTGGCATGGAGTTCATGAGTGAGTTTATTCTCCTCATTGG